TAAAAGATGTAACATGCCTATGCATGGTTTTGAGTGCATCTATTTGCATCCAGTACTTAAATTTCTTGTTGTAATGGCAGCTAATGAGAGGTTAAGACAGGGAGATATAAATTAACACCCAAAGAACAAGGATTTTAAAAGATTGGATGTGTTTGGGAGGAAAATGTATTCTACCTCTTCCTTACAAATGCATGTTGCCAATCAGCAGGCACTTTTATCAAAGTACGACTTTTGTAAATTGGGAAGCAATGGCAAAATTAACAGATAAGTTGCCCAGAATCCTGTAGAGAAGAGATTAAGGCTTTCTTTGCAGAAGACCGTCGAGTGGAAAAAACAACACTACGGTTAGTTTGAGACATGGCTGATGCTTCTTCTAGAGTTATGGCCTCTGCTGTAACAATGAGAAGGACTTCATGGTTGCAGAACTCTGGTATCACTCCTGAGGTCCAACAGACAATTGAGAACCTACCCTTTGACAGTCAATTTTTATTTTCAGAGAAAACTGATGAAACATTACATTCCCTTAAAGACTCACATTATGTTGTGTTTGTTGGGGGTTTTTACCTCAGTGGTAAAGATGCATCACTTCCTGGAACAACAATAGCAGCAATATCACCCTCAGCAGTTTTTTAGTTCAAATTATTCTGCTAGACAGCAGAACTTCTCCAGAAAGGGGCACAAGTCTCATAGAAGTAGGTCTTCTGGTCCCAATTTTAACCCATCAGCCTGTTCTTTATCTGTTTTGGGAAAGCAGTCTACTCAACACTCTCCCCAAGGTTGGCATTCCAGTTCTCAAGCTTCATGTCATTTCCCTTTCGTTTGGGAACAGGCTATCCCTTTTCTACAGGGTTTGGGAGTCAATAACTATGGACAAGTGGGCACTAAGCTTTGGGACTGGGTTATGCCGTTCAGTTCCAGTCTGTTCACCCTTCCCACTCAACTACTCTTTCCCTTTTCAGGGACCCCTCTCAGTAGTTTCTTCTCCTTCAACATGTGCAGACTCTCCAGGTTTTGGGGGCCATAGAGGAGTTTCCACTTCAAAATCAGGGAAAGGGTTTCTACTCATAGTACTTTCTGATCCCCAAGTCCAAGGGAGGGATGAGACCTAGCCTCAGTCTCTGTGGTTTCAACAAGTACTTCGAATACATGAGACAGTGCATGGGTACCCTAGGGATTATTCTCCTGCTTTGAATCACAACAGCCGGTTTCCAGCCCTCAATCTTCAGGATGCTTACTTCCATATGGTGATCTTCCCAAGTCACAGGAGGTTTATGAGATTTGTAGCGGAGGTCAGCCTTATCAGTACACTGTGCTTCCCTTTGGTTTTTTCTCCACTGCATGGGTGTTTACCAAATGCTTCACTCTGGTAGCAGCATATCTCAGAAAAAGAGGAATTCTTGTCTGCCCAAACCTGGACAATTGGTTAGTGAGAGGCAAGTCCAAAAAACAAGTCCTCTGTAATACCAATTCACACTATGTCTCTTTGATCATCTGGGTCTGATTTTGAACAAAGGGATGTTGACATTAATGCTAACTGGACAAATTGATGAATTAGGTCCCTACTAGACTAATAAAGTTGAGAGTGATTCTGCCAAACAAACAGTTTCAAGCAATTTGTCACCTGTGTCTGGCACTTCAATCCTAACCTTCAATTACAGTCCATGTATGCCTGAAGTTCTACACCATATGGCTGCATGCACTTATGTAGTCCAGCCTGTGAGATTGTGCCTTCATCCTCTTCAAACGTGGTTGAAGTTGATTTATTGCCTGAGTTTTCAGTTGTTGGACTAGCTTGTCCAAGTGCCTCCAGTGATCCTGAACTTCTTACAGTGGTGGACAGTTGGGAGCAATATATGCCAGGGAATTCCCTTCGGTTGTTTTCCAACAACCGGGATTATAGTCACCAATGCCTCCTCAATAGGTTGGGGAGTTCATCTAGAAACACTGAAAATTCAGGGCTCGTGGTCGAAAAGGAGGCTTCCTTTCATATCAACATCCTGGAGCTTCAAGTCATTTACAATGCCTACCCAGCCTTTCAGAATCACATTGGGGTGCAGCAGTTCATATACTCACCAACAACGATACCACAATGTATTATGAGCTTAGGATACAATAAAATTTTGGCAGTTCTGCATCAAGGAAAGTATAATTCCCGCAGCTGCTCATTTACCTGGGGTCCAGAATCACTACTCCAATCATCTCAGCAGGAATTTCTCCCAGAATCACAAGTGGTGTGTTGAGCTCCATCTTCTTACAAGGGACATCCTGATTATAGACCAGTTTGCAACAAGAGACAACTAGAAGTCCCATCAGTTTTTTGTTCTCAAGTAGGTCTCAGTCCAGGCTCCTTAACAGATGCCTTCCATCTGAATTGGGGATCAGCACTGATGTATGCCTTTCCCCTGGTACCACTCATTCCTCATTATTCTTAAACTGAAGTTGGATCATGCCAAACTAATTCTTATTGCATCAGGTTGGCCAAGGCAATGTTGATTCTCTGACCTACTCAATCTGTCGGTTTGACCTCCCATCGCTCTTCCTCTTTATCATAATCTACTGACTCAGCACCACAGTTTAGTTTTGCATCCAGTGTTCAGAAGTCTACACCTCGTGGCATGGATGCTGGATGGTTAGATGAGGAGGAGGAGGAATGCTGTTTGGAAGCTGTTAAGCAAGTGCTATTCAGTAATAGAAAACCGTCCACAAGAGCTACCTATTCGACCAAGTGGAAGTGGCTTTTGATGTGATCGCTAGCCCGGGGATTCGACAAAGGCTAGCCTGCATTTGGGACATTTTGAAGTATCTGCTACACCTTCAGTCCTCTGATCTGTCTCTCAGCTCCTTGAAGGTCCAGTAACAGGTGATCTTGGCGTTTCATCCTCTGATCCAAGTGAAGTCAATTTTCTCTAATACCATGGTAGCAAGTTTTCTAGGAGGAGTCATTAGTCTCCACCCGGCAGTGAAAGAGCCGGTTCCCTTGTGAGACCTTAATACTGTGTTAACTGCTCTTATCGGGCCTTCACTTGAGCCCCTGGCAATCTGTTCTCTGTCCCTCCTGTGCCAGAAGACAGCCTTTCTTCTTGCTATAACATCTGCAAGGAGAGTAAGTGAACTGCAGGCTATAATGACATATGCAGTTTATGCAGTTTTTCAAAGACAAAGTGGCCTTATGGCCACATCCAAAATTTTTGTTGGAAGTTGTTTCCCAATTTCACCTTAACCAAGTAATATTTTTGCTATTCTTTCCTAAACCACACTCAAATACATATGAACAGCAACTTCATTCATTGGATATGAGATGATGCTTGGCGTTTTACCTAGAGAGGACTACGCTTTTTCATTCATCACCTCATTTTTTGTCTCCTATGCAGATCAAAGGAAGGGTCAGGAAGACTCTAGGCAGATTTCCAGGTGGATAACTTCCTGCATTACAATAGCATATAAAGTAGCTGTTCCTCAGACCACGCTTCCTCAGAGATTATGGACTTATTTGATGAGGGCCCAACCAACATCGATAGCGTTCCTAAGTGCTGTTTTGATACTGGACATTGGCAAGGCTGCCGTCCAGTCTTCGGTATATACTTTTATCAAGCACTATGCTGTTAGCTCTGCATCTAGGTCAGATGCAAACTTTGGAAAGGCAGTTTTGCAGTTGTTGTTGAAGTAGACTCCATGTCCCACCACCTTAAAGTACGGCTTGTGAGTCAACTGAATGGAATACACATCTACAACCACTCAAAGGAAAAATGGTTACTTGTACTGTAACTGTTGTTCTTCTAGATGTGGGTGGAGACATGTATTCCACAACCCAACCTCCAGCCCCTCTGCATCGGAGTGTCTTGTCTTGACATTTGGAGCAAAGGAACCGAGAGGGGTTGGGGTGGCACTTCCATTAAATAGCCAGGGAAGGGGTTAAGGGCCAGAGGGCATGAGCGTCATCCCTACTGGTACTGGTAGGAAAAGTTTCCAGTGTTGATGCACTGGGTGCTCGCGCACCTGAGTGGAATACACATCTGCACCCACATCTCAAAAAATCAACAGTTACAATACAGGTAGGTAACTGGTTTTTTTGTAATAAATATTTTTCTGAAACCTATAAGCACAATTAGGGACTAATCTAAAACCCTTTGAAATTAATGAAATAATTTCCATTGTTTTTTTTCAATGGGTTTGGGATTAAGCATTTAGAGTGAGTTTACTTTGATTCTTTGCAAATCTAGTCACTTGGTCTCTCTTTTATCATATATATTTCATAGACTATTATGATTATGATTAAATCCACCAGTTCTGATTCCCCCCTCCTCCCCTTCCCTAGAAGTAGCTGAAAGAAAACTACACACATGAAAACTAGGTTGTACATTTAGGTCATTGCCCATCATGTAGCTGATACTAATGTGACTTGTAATTGCAAATACATGATTGCCCACACCCCTCATTGTCATAGGACTATATTTACAAAATATTTTTAAACTTGTATGAAACGTTACTTGTTGGCATTGGAATTAACGATTAAAAACCACACTGGAATTTGTAATGTTGCTATACAAGCATGTTTAGACCTGTTACTATACATTGCGTTACCTTTTTTGCTTGCTTGCATATTCTATGTTCTGAGTCACTTCATTTTGATCATAGTCTCAGATGAATTCCTCATTTGGTAAAATTGATTGCATATCCTGGGCGCAATTAGATGTGTGGGGACATCAAATAAAATAATAGTGATTTAAAAATCTGTGTCTTTTTAGTGTGGGGAAATTATTCTGTTGATCGACAGAGACTGAAAACTATCATTCCATTATTAGTTTTACTGTTAAAGAATTTCATTTTATCATGTATGAAGGTTACAGTGCCAATAGCATTTATTATGAAATTATAATACACCATTGTACGAAACTGAGAGTTTATAGCAAAATTGCTATGTAAGTATAAACTATAAAATCTGATAAAAAAAAATTCCTTTTGCTTTTTGTTTTTCCTTTTTTCTACTGCTTCCTCTGAAGTCTCCTACCAAATGGTTTTGGAAACTGGTTCCTGTAAGTTTGCCTAACTGCTTCACCTTTGATCTAATAGTTTTATATGAGAATGGGTTTGTCCATGTCATGCTGGTGTACTCATTCATTTCATTTATCTCAGATAGATTAGATTATAGTATAGTAGATTGCTGTCCATAGGGTTCACATAGTTTAGAATCCAGTCTTTCAAGATAATCTGGGGAAAATTAAAATTTAAGGTATGATATTGGATCAAAAGTTGCTTTAAGAACAGTTGACATGCATCTGTAGTGTTTATGATATTTTACTTTTTATAGTGCAGTGTGTTGCCTTCTCTTACCTCACCTCAGAATATAAAATACCCTCTCTGTACTCTCTCTAGTAAGGTTCTTTGCTTGGTTCATATGCAAACTCCTATTCAGTGTGAATCAGAGCTGCTTGTGTACTTTATTAAGAAAGTTGATCCACAGAAGCCAACCTTTGTGGCATTTGAAGTTTTTAGACACTTATTAAAAGTGTGTATCACACACACCATTTACCCTAGTTTCTCTCTTTTCAATTAGTGATGAGTATTTAGGGGAGCAAAACATTGGTTGTCCCCCTATTGTTAAAATTATAAAAGCATAATAATGTAAGTCTGTGCTTCATTAATAACAAACTAAATTTATTTCCTTGATACTCTCTCTTCTGGGGATGATCATTTTCCTTTATCGTATTGTAATTTGCACTAAAATTGTATGCAGTTTAATTAACATATCCCCTTGCTACACTTCAACAATAAAGATAATACGCTGTTTTCTCTGTCATCAATAAATCCATACTATAGGTATGGAGCTGCTTTGAGATTTACTTAGTCTGTAGATGTTCAAGTAAATGCTGTACTGCATTTTGTTCTGTTGTCCAAAAATGTACTTTTGATCTTTCAATCAAATCACACATGTAGCACTTGGGCAGGCCCTCAGATAGTTTTGTTTTAACTAATAAGAGATGGTTTATATATTGCAAAGAGAGAAAAATGCGCTTAGGCAACTGCTTACTGTAAATAAAGTTTGGCCATTGCCTAAAGAACAGCATTAAAAAACAGTTTGTAATAGTGACTACAGCTGTTCTATTTCTAGCTGATTGAACCCAAATTCGTAAGAGTCTGTAGTATAAAAGTAATTCCTCTGAAGTGTTGTCTTTTTTCCGCTTTGCATTGCTATCTACGTATATTTAAAGAGAATATTCAGTTTTGGACTATGTAATACCATTTAAATGTTCTTATTTCAGGAATGAAAGGACAACAACATAACTAACATAGAGGAGTAAAGCCACAAGTGCGCTGTGTATGGTCATTACAGACCTACGAAAATAAACTACATCTCACATCATAATCTGACATACAGTATTTCCATTAAACCAGAATGCTAGTGAAGAGCTGTTTCAGAATAAACCTTTTGTTATTGCTGTTTTTGCATAAGGTATTAGTTTACCGATAGTTCCCCAGCAGTATATTAGAAACATCATATATATTTGCCGTGCAGTTATTAAAAGCAGTGCTGTACCAATCTTTTGATAAATATGGTACTAGCATGTTGAGGTGTTATATTTTGTTATGACCATGTTTATCATCACGCTTTCTAAATGATTAAAAGAGATTTTCTTCCAAATTAAAAGTAAAAAACAGTCACTGGTGGCTACACAGTAACTTGAAGTAGCATAACATCTGTTGCCTTCTTTATCAAATGCTGAATAAATTCCTATTAAAACACGATACAAAATATACCTTGAGCAACCTAGTAGATTTGACTATATTTTAACTTATTTTTCCTGAAGTTGGGTATTTCTACTCTCTCAAACAACCATCTTCTTCCAGGTCTACCTTAAAGGTTTGACATCGTTTCCAAGAGAAGTCTATAGACAATGTTCCTAAGGCAACCTGAATCATCATTTAAGTGACAGGAAGCTTTCTCCCAGAAAGTCATTGTGTGGTGGCATATCGTGATATGCTGCTAAGCCAGGCATTATACTCTATATTTAAAACAACTTTAAAATGTTCTTTAAACAAAATTGAGAGACTTTGTTTTTAAAACAATATATTAAATTCTTGGGAGAAATTTTTAATTATGATTTTTGAGCCAGTCTGTATATTATTTGTTACTGTATCTTCTTTGCTATTGTTGTCTAATAATAAAATCAAATCTAAGTAAAACATTTCTCCTTACACTTCATTGCTAAACCATTTCCATGGAGGAAAAGCATAATTCTATATTTGTGACATTATAGTGATTTCCATGACAATAGATTAGATTGTCATGAGTAAAGAATTGCAAGTTGGAGGGGGGGGGAAAGCTCTGACAGTAAGAAAAATGTCTTGCTTAAATATAGGTAATTTAAAGTGTTACTAACATATGCAAATCAAATAATAATACATGAAAGATAAACACATTTTGTTTAGCATTTTCAGAAGTCTGCCATAGTAAGGGGAAACTGTCTTCTGCCATTTGTATCTTCATACAACATACTTCATGCAATAGTGTCACCACATTTCAAGCTTGAAGTAAAGCTTTAAAACTTACTCTTTAAATATTAAAATACTAACTGGTTAAAAGTTATCTGGGCCATTCTGGTGTGCTATAATAAAGACTTATCTTCAGTTCAGAGTACTGGTATTTCTCCACAAGGTAATACAGTTTGGGAATTCTACATCCCTCAATAATCCCCCATTTTGGCCAATTTAAGAGAGACATGGAAATGCACTGAATGGAATCCCATCCAGTTCTCACCAAAAGAATAATTTTCAGGGTTAGAGTGAGTGAATTCTCAGAACCTCAAAAGAGAGCCCTCGGATTCCATCTAAATATATACATAACTTAAACATAAAATTAGTTAGCTCAGGGATATTCTTGACATCATAATTAGCATCATAATTAGCACTTAGGTATGAAGACAGATTGTAAACTTCCTGTAGTATTTGAAAATTAAAAGGTCAGTTACTCAGTAAGTCATATCAACAAGTTAGTAAATACATCTTATATGTTCTTTTTTTTTTTTAATCTGCCACCCCAGAGGATGTGAGAAGACACATTAAGAATGACCAATATGAAATTAGAGCAAAAAAAAAGTTTCTTTTCTAAATGTTTTCCTTTTGTAATGTTCTTTTACCCTAGTAATCTTGACCATAAATCCTTTCCTAAATGCACTGTTGTCTGTATGACACAGAGTAAAATTAAAATGGAGCTGATCAAATCCAGATTTCTCTACTTTTGAACTTGGCAGCAGGTCTGTTATAACTGAAGCACGTATTGGCCCAGATCCTCATGTGGTGCATATTGCATAGCTCAGTTCACTTTCAAGGAGCAATGCAGAGTTACACCAGCTGAGGATTTGGCCCATTATGTTAGACAAATAAGTAATTTTTGAATGCTTATGAAATTGAATTCCACTATTTGTAGGTTATTCTCCTAATAGTGATAAATGAATTATCTGATTTCAGAGTGAATTAGAATATTGTATGTATTTGATCAAACTTTGGTAGCACAGTAGTTTTGAATGAAAGTTGCAATATTATCATATGGGCTTATTTCCTTTTAAATCTATCTACATTTTGCCTATTTGTTTAGCATAAATATTAATCTACAGAAAGTAACCACTGACAAAATGGTGACTCACTTGATATTACTTAATGCCTTTTCACTAATGGAACACAGAATCTACAGTACAAATCTGTTTTCACATATGTTTCTGAGCATATGTCTATTTTAATCTCCTCTTTCTACATGGTAGGCTCGTTACAGGAAGGAGCAAACACTGCTTAAGCAGCTGCCTTGCATTCCATTGGTAGAAAATCTGCTGAAGGATGGTACAGATGGTTGTGCTTTAGCTGCTCTGATCCACTTCTACTGTCCTGATATTGTCAAACTGGAGGGTGAGTGTGTATGTTAGATGATTCTCTGCCATTAAAAATATGGTGATGCAAGTTAAAATGGCTTTTTCTTCAGTATACATTAGAATGGTGGCATTGAATAGCATAGATACAGAAGAGGTAAAATTTGAGAGTTTCTTAAAAGCTCTGACTCATGCATAAAATTTCAGTTTTTAAAGAGAGAGCACTACTTACCATGGTATCTCCCAATATTATGTTTACCATTACTATCTATAAATCACCAAGCAAATATAAGTTTGTAAAGATAATTCCGTAAGGAACTGTTTTGGCAGATTCCTCACTCTTGCAAGCACATCCTTCGGTGCCTAAAGTGTCTTGGCATCCAGTCCTCCTTGGTCATTCTCTAGCCTTCTGTTCTCCCCATAAAAGCTTCAGCCTTATTGGGATCATGCACATGGATCTCAGGCTTGTTCAGATCTGAAGTGTGAAATCCCTATGCAAAACCATTCCAAAGAATGCCTTCAGTACTACAGGCCTCCAGATTTAAGAAAGAAAAATTCCAGTCGCTCTTGGTTTATGAGATGGAAAAAGTTGGCTTTCAAGTTATGTGTCAAATCCAGGCACGTGCTGTTATTGTCTAGTGTGTCTGATCCGAGAAGGGTTGAAAGCAGGACTGCCGCGGATGCTAACTCTTTGGATCTTTGCTTCCAGTGCTAACAACTTGCCCGCTTACTGTTTGAGAACAGACAGAGATTCAGAATTCCTGACTGATGCATTTTTTAGGCCTGGAGTTGGAATCTCATGTATGCCTTCCCACAGATTCCTCCACTCTCTGTTTTTCAGAACAGTGAAGCAAGACAGGGCTCATGTCATCCTCGAATCCTTAGCTTAATATCACCAGTTTTATTGTTTGGATCTCCTAGCCATAATATTCCATTTACCCTTTTAAAATATGCATGTGAAGTCTCCCCTTCTGTCTCGAAAATAAAGTCAGAGGTGATCAGGTCCTACTATGAGAACCATAGAAAACATTAAAAATATAAAGTTTTTATTGACGCATACTCTATCTAACAGTATTATTCTTGACACTTATTAGATTTGAATGTTCACATGGGAAGCACCAGGTCATTTTGGAATTAAGGACACCAGCTACCAGAAGGGTATGCACTAAAATGGAGAAGCTTTAATAAATAGGGAAAAAGCAGAAACATAGACCCAATGTCTTCTCATTCATTGTATTCTGGACTACTCGCTTTCTTTTAATTAAAAAAAAAAAAAAAGACCGTACCTGGCTGCTTTTAGCAATTTATCATAATCTTCCACTCCAGGGAACAATAGTTTTTCTTCATCTGACTATGAATAGGGCATTATTTTTGTATATCTTCTAGTGTGAGGCTTTACCTTCCTGAGATTAGAATTCAGTACTGACAAGACCACTTTTACTCCCCTGTCCTTCAAAGCTGCATTCTCAGTAGCTATTCGATCAACAAACAGGCTGAGTGAGGCTGCTTATGCCAGATCCTCCTTTCATCTTGTTCTGTAAGGTAAAGTAGATGCTACGCCCACATCCTAAATTCCATCTTAGTTAGTTGGTCCGTTGTGATCTTTATCCCAAACCAAATTTAACAGAAGAAATTAAACCTGAATATTTTCAGTTTAAAAGTGCATTGATTTGTTGCCTGATGAAGAAAGAATTTTTTTGTTGGTTTCAAGATTTTTTTGCATTTGCGGCCATATTCAAGTTGGTATCCGTTTCAGTTGAAAGATTTATCTAAATGATTAACTCCTATCTATGACCAACATAAGTCCCTCTACCGGGTAGCCCATCCTAATAGTTGTAAGACAGTTTCCATGGAATGCTGGAGAAATGTCTCCACCCTGAAATCTGTAGAGCTGCCTGTAACAGGGTCACACTCACCTCTCGCGAGCACCCCCTGACCGAGTGCGTGTGCCTACACTCTCTCTAGGGTGACCAGATGTCCTGATTTTATAGGGACAGTCCCGATATTTGGGGATTTTTCTTATCTAGGTGCCTATTACCCCCCACACTCTGTCCCGATTTTTCATACTTGCTGTCTGGTCACCCTAACTCTCTCTCTCTCTGTTGGTGGTGGGTCTTTGGTGACTCGGCCCTCCAGCCAAGTCATATACAGTCTGTCTGTGAGATAAAAGCAACACAAACCCCTTTCAGGGTACGAGTCCAACAGGGGCCTCTCTTAGTGCCCTCTGTAATGTCTCTCTCAGTTTGTCCCTGCTCCAGAATAGAGCAGTGCCCCAGGGCTCCTTCCCTGGAGGCAATGTCTTTGCCCTCTCAGGGCCTTTCTGGCCCCAGCTCTTCAGTTGGGCTATTAAAAGAGTTTAGTTCCCCTTCTGGGGTGTATCAAAGTCCAGGCCACTTTTCCAGTGGCTGGTAGAGGGGAGCTGGGTCCGCCTTTTACTCCGGGTCCCAGTCCAGGGACCCTATAGATAGCAGCTGTCCACGATGTCCCTTTAAATAAACTGTGTTGCTGCTATAATTCCCTGGGCCCCTTCCCTATGGCTCCTGCATATTCTTCACTCTTATCTCAGGGCCTTGTCCTTGTGGAGTCCCAGCAGCCAGCCTGAAGCATCATCCACTCTCCAGCTGTAGCAAGGAACTGAACTCACTCTGGCCCTGCAGCTCTTCCTATACTGACCTGCTGGGCCCTGATTGGCTGCTTCCCACACAGCTGCTCTAGGCAGCTCGGAGGACCCTCTCCTGCCCTTTTCTGGGGCGGGGTGTGGCAGGGCCACAAGGCCTCCAGCAGGGGACCTCAGGACCTAGTCCACCCCATCATACTGCCACATAAAACTTGGTTCACATCTTCACTTAGCTATACTCCCTCAATTTAGTAATAAAGTCTGATGCTTATATTCTTTCCTTTTTATTTCCTTCAGGACCTCATTCTTTAAGAACTTCTCTAGGGAGTTATTACTGCTAGTCTATCTCTTAAAAGACAATTATTGAAGGAGAAAGGAAAGTTACTCAGCTGTACATGGTATGTAGAGTATATTGCAGCATCAGAACCACACTGACCTACCCACCATTACCACTTCTATGACTATAAATGGTATTTTGAATAGTAAAAGGAAATGAGGGCATCAGGGCCTGCAATTCCTTGTATTAAACTCATTTTGAACAATTGGCTCCAAAAAAGAGAGTATATGGTGCCCAAACTGATATTGCTTTTATAGATGGAGCCAGAGTTTGTGATGTTGAGGCACATTCTCTCAAGAGTGGCCGTTCAGTGATAAGAAATAAATATGCTTGGAGAACTCCAGAAACAGATGTGTAATTCCATTTACCTTACTAATAGTATCTGAGCATTTAAAACCTAGTTGCAAGAGGGATACTGTAATCAGTACAATATATTTAAGTTATACAGTTATGTTTGTGATGGTCTCAAAATAATAAATGGGTCAAGAGTTAGATCATAACTTATTTTCAGTAAGGGTAATTAAAAATCATAATTTATAATTATCATTTCCCAAAAAACCCCAATCATAGCATGTTTTGGAAAGTATTCAAGATGTTAATCTACTTCGATAGCATAAAAACAAACCTATAAAAATGCAATGGAATAAAATGTAAGATGACGTAACTCAAGATTCTGAAATTAAAATCTAATTCAAAACTTGATTTTTCAAAAATTCTTTTTGACAAAATGTTTTCATTTTTTAATCTACCTCCAAAATGCTTAGCACTTATTATATGTAAGGCTTTTATTTTCAGATCTGTAGCTATGCTTAACTTTTTCTGTTTCTGCTTTCATTTTAGATGTTTGTTTGAAGGAGACCATGTCATTGGCTGATAGCTTATATAATCTACAGCTCATACAAGAATTTTGTCAGGAATATTTGAACCAATGTTGCCATTTCACTCTTGAAGATATGCTCTATGCTGCTGCTTCAGTAAAGGTAAAAAAAATATATATATATTTTTGAACATGTGATTTCTTCTGATCTGCTTTAGTAATGTTATTTTAACTGCTTTTAGGTCTATTGCTATGTGGTTCAGCGAAAAAGGATACTGCATTTGTTGGGACATGGTGATTACATTATAATGTGCATATAAATGAATGTTTGAGCTGCACGTATCACCTCATTTTTGATGGTTATTATTGACCTTGAAATGTAAATATATTTTTAAAAGGAGAACAGGTAAAACTTTAATTTTGGGCAGACTGTCATAACTTTGTTCTCTCTTAATTAAAAACACACAATCTGCAATATTTCTTTAAAAATGTAATTGAGAGTTATGATGGCTGTGACTTCCTAAGTTTTTCAAACTATAGTGTAATTTAAAGTTATCGTTTCTAAAATAACTAACTCATGTCCCCTTGTCCATCTATACAGAAATATAAAATATATATACACCTCTACCTCGATATAACGCTGTCCTCGGGAGCCAAAAAATCTTACCACGTTATAGGCATTATATCAAACTTGCTTTGATCCACTAGAATGCGCAGCCCTGGCAACCTGGAGCACTGCTTTACCGCGTTATATCCGAATTCGTGTTATATCGGGTCACGTTATATCGGGGTAGAGGTGTACAGTGTTAAGTTCTGTGTTTTACATGTGTATGTGCTATCTTTATTTGATAGGCTATGGTTGCTCTGCAAACCATAACTTGGAATTTCCTGAATTAATTTAATTTAAAAATCTAACACTTATGCACATAATTTGTAGTTGTGTATATTTCATTTCCTTACCTTAAAACAGAAAACTGTACTGAATTTCACAGTATGTATGTTCATTATAAAGTATGGTATGAGATTCAAGTAAGTGTTTGAGTCTTCTCATAGGTATACAGAATTCTACGTATAATTGTAATTAATGTGTGTGGTGTTATCTGAATACCTGCATTTAGGGCTCATTTCTGCTAAGTGCTGAGCACTTCAACTACCACTGACTTCACCCAGATGAAGGTGTTTAGCAGTTCACAGGAGCACTTAGCATCTTCCAGATTTGAGCTGTTGCTGTGTACTTCAGCCCTCATCTGTACACACACATTGTAGTTAACATGAGGCAGTGCCTTCCCCATGCCCCCGATTGTGGATGCACTGATATTGGCATAAATGTGCTTTTAATAGGTATAGCTTGTTCCATTGGGGAAGGGGAATAAACTATACAGCTATAGGGCACCTTTGTACCAATATAGCTGAGTTCACAATAGGGGTCATACTGATATAATTGTAATGCTAAAACATCACATCCCTAGTTGACATACTACCACAAAATCTGTGACCGGACCAGGCCTTAGTCACTAAGGGCTTGTTTACATGCAGCATTATACCAGTTTAACTTAAGGTGTGATTTTAAACCTTTTCAGTTAAGCCAGTTCAAAAGGCTGTGTGGACACTCTTAGTTTGGTTTAAACCCAGGGTTATTTCGGTTTAACTAAGGCTACGTCTACACTACGGGGGGGGAATCGATTTCAGATACGCAAATTCAGCTACGGGAATAGCGTAGCTGAATTCGACGTATCTGATCCGACTTACCCTGCTGTGAGGACGTCGGCAAATCAACCGCCGCGGCTCCCCCGTCGACGGCGCTTACTCCTACCTGGGCTGGTGGAGTACGCGCGTCGATTCGGGGATCGATTATCGCGTCCCGACGAGACACGATAAATCGATCCCCGAGACATCGATTTTCTACCACCGATCCGGGCAGGTAGTGAAGACCAGCCCTTAGAAAATTAAAAACAGATTTAAGCTAAATTAAAATAAGCTACTCTTAAATCAAAATAAGACTTGGTCTACACTTAAAAGTTAGGTTGACATAGCCGTGTCAGTCAGAGATGTGAAAAACACAACACCCTGACCTACATAGCTATCCTGACCTAATCCCCAGTGTACCCAGTTGTATCGATGGAAATGTGCTTCTGTCGACATAGTTAACTTCGCTTAGGAGGATGGTCTTCATACGCCAACAGAAAAACACCTTCTGTCAGGTAGGCTGCATCTACACCTCTACCCCGATATAACGCGACCTGATATAACACGGGTTCACATATAGTGCGGTAACCCCGGGGCTCCGGCAGTGGGGCTCAGGCGGCGCTTTAAAGGGCCCGGGGCTCCAGCTGCTGGGGGGAGCCCCAGGCCCTATAAATCACCGCTGGAGCCCTGCTGCTGCTACCCCAGGGCTGCGGCAGCGAGGCTCGGCCGGCGATTTAAAGGGCCCGGGACTCCCCGCGGCCGGAGCCCTGGGCTCTTTAAATCACCGCTGGAGCCCTGCCACCGCTACCCCGATATAACGGGGTTTCATCTATGACACGGTAGGGATTTTTGGCTCCCGAGGACCGCGTTATATCGGGGTAGAGGTGTACTCTACAGTTTTATGCCAGCATAGCTACGCTGACATAGTTGCCTTAGGCCAGGTCTCCACTACACTCTTAGGCTACGTCCTCACTACGGACGGGGGGGGAGGGGGTCGATTTAAGATACGCAAATTCAGCTACGCAAATAGTGTAGCTGAATTCGCGTACCCCGCTGTGAGGACGGCGGCAAATTGACCTCCGCGGCTCCCCCGTCGACGGCGCTTACTCCTACCTGCGCTGGTGGAGTACAAGCGTCGATTCGGGGATCGATTGTCGCGTCCCGACGAGATGCGATAATTCAATCCCCGAGAGATTGATTTCTACCCGCTGATTTAGGCAGGTAGTGTAGACGTAGCCTTAGTTTGGTATAACTATGTTGCTCAGGGGTGTGAAAAATCCACACCCCAGAGCAACGTAGTTATACCAACCTTAACCCCCCCACGTAGACAGCGCTTTATTGACGGGAGAGCTACATAGCTGCTACCTCTCTCTGCCCTTAGAATATCGATATAGGGGATTGCACTGGCTCTTGCTGATTATTCTGTTACTTCACATATTGAAACTTCATCAGTTGCTACTAGAGGCAGCCAGTTTCATCTACTTGTCAGCTTTTGGCATTTTCAAATTTCCACATCACAGACTGCTCCCTATCGACATGCTTGTTATACTGTTATCTCTTATTGCTTAGAATATCTATTTGCTTGTATTGTGGGAGCAGACAAAAGGAAGTGGATAACAGGCTTGCCCACTATGTCAAATTTCTGCTCATCCCATCTTGAGTTGAACTTCTTCCATGCATTTTGATCTCTTTCCCCCAGCCCTGGCTATCTGGAATATATGGAATCCATGACTCCTTATTGCTGTGCTAAGCTAATCCATGACAATGAGTAATGCTATTTTTGTACAGGAGGTGCATAGTGTATAATGATTCAAATAAGTATCCAATATAAAGCTTTGAGAACAAATATTTGAATATAAATATTTTCTTTATAAATTAATTTCTTATATTGTACACTTTAAAAATGCTACAGACTAAGTAATTTTCCTGCTTCTGAATAATTTCTTTAGAGTGGATTTAGGTCTTTCATAGGTTTAGGACATTTGTAAATTGAAAAAGCTCATTGTGGCCATGCTTTCACAAGCTTCTTGTGGCACGGATACCTATTTAGATGTAAATGGTACACAGAATGGTACACAGAAAAGCTGCCAAGTTTTCCTCCTAGGCCTTGGCAAGGGAAACACTAGCTGGTGCTGTAAGCTCTGTTCTGCATGTGTGGAAAAGACATCTGATTTAAAAATAAATTCACAGTTAAGACGAGGGCTTTCCAAGTTTCCCAGGATATCCATTGGGAGTAACTTCTAATAAGAATATATGCTCCCTTGACGAATCCCTTTGAAAAAGCTCGTGTTGTGAGCAGAAACCTTAAATATCGCACAACATATTAAAATGCTGTATAGTACAGAAAATTGTTTTCTCATTCTAGAAACTGACTAGGAATGATATCAGTGTGTGATGCAAACCTATAAAATTATTTTCTATTTGCTGACTCTTCCAAAGAGAATTTTCATGGAAAAAAGTAGTTTTTAAATTTAACTGCCACATGATAGTATATATTATTGTATAAGTTTAAAACAATAGCCTGCTTTTGCAGCTTTTTGCTCTGATTTTATCAATGTATCCTAGTCCCTGTCCTGCTCATACAGCTTGTTTTCCTTATTGAATCTCTTTGACTAGAAGGGTATAATGGAATATGCTGTTTCCTTTGAGTAATGCACTGCCACTTGCCAGCAGGGGGATGGTTTGCATCATTTCTGCAGTATACACAGCCTGCAGATCACCAGGCTGATGTATTTCTATCTCCAGCTTATAAAATGCAGTGTGATTCCTTTGTACCTCAGGGAAACTATCATAAATTGCTTATCTTTTAGCTTGTAGTTTTGATCCCTTTTCTGTATAAGAAGCAAAGTGATTTAAAAACAAATTATATATGTTAAGGGCAGGATTAAATGCTTCAATATAATACATTTTAGAATAGTTATTTTAAAATTTGCTAACAGATGAAGTATAACATAAATATATGCAATGTACATATCTTCAGAAGACTTAATGCAATCCAGCAGTCTGCTTCCTCCCAATTTCATCTTCCACCAGTTGCAGAAGCAGCAAACAATTTCCTTGTACTTGTTGAACTTCACTCCTTGGGCTTAGTAACAATCATTAATACAGTAAATTAGGATTTCTAACATGCTTACACCTTTCTTTGTGAAAGGGCAGAAGGTTGGGCAGAAGTTTCAGTACATTTCCTGGCCTCAATGTGTATGGCCTAGCTGTTGCAACTAGTCAAGTGAATAAGACTGCACAGCAGGTAGTGATATTATCTTATAAAAAATCAGTTAATCTCTGATATTGTTGCCATAAGTAACAAAAAGAAGCAAACTGCCAGCAGAAAGTGCATTTTAGGGGAAAGCAGTGGCACAAATCACAGTTGAGCCTCCAGGATGGACATGGAGTTTCTAGTGCAGCCCTTGAAAGGAAGCAAGGTACTCTACTCTGACTTCCTGTGTTCTGTTGTGATTAAATATATCCACCTTTCCA